CAATCCCTGATGGTCCCAGATTTCCAATTGAGCTTCCATCAAAATTCCTCTTTACCCTATTATTTCCTGAAGGCTTCCACTCCATTATAATTCTCTTTAATTGTGAAGGAACTTGCCACTTATCCCCATGCCCACAATATGTCATCCATGGAGTACTCCTTGAAGGCCTCTATTATAACATCAGGCCTTGTAGCTAACCTCATTTTGTTTTATACTATTAATACAATACCTTACTTTAAAAAAAAAGGTCTCTGCAATGTTTTTAAGACCAAATCCATATTAATTTTGAAGGCATGGCCGTTCATAATTTTTATAGATTAAGGAGCACTAAACAGGTTAAGAGAATTAAAACAAGTCAAAAACCACTGACCAGGGGACCCTGGCCTACACTGAATTTCATGGTTTAATTCTCTTAACCTGTTAACTTGTCCATTCTTGAAAACATCCATCCAAATGTTGGATGGAATCTCCATCCTTTTTAACTTGTCCATTCTTGAAAACCATCCCTACTAATGATTTGAATGCTTTCATCTTCAGTGGTATAGCAACTAGCAAAGCCCCAAAATTTTCCAATTAAATTATGTGAAACAACTTGCCCTCTAACCAAAACCATCCCTACCATGTTGCTGGAAAGACATGATGCTAGAAGAGATTTGACCAATCAGAACCTCTGTGAATTTTGGTAAATACCACCTGATTGGTTACCACTTTTGTGATACTGGTTGATTGGTTACATTACAAGTTTTTCCTGTATAATGTATTGCCGGTATCATAGTTGAACCCTTCCATCAATACTGTCCTCCAAAGAGAGGTTTTGTTCCTTTTGAGGCTTCTATAATCACTTACCTAAGAGGGTATTGGTTATTGGTCTTAATTGGAAAATATCTAGTATTTTACTGTTTGATTTTTGTATCAATGTGGCTTTTGTGTTACTATTTTGATCCAAGATACTTTTTTATTGACCTTTGTTTTCTATTTGATTACAGACAGATGGTTTAACCATTATTACAGAGGATGACTGGAAATTCTTTTGTGAAGAGTGGAACTGTACTGAGGAGAAAGGTATATCTGCCAAAATTGAGTTCCCTAACTGTGTGTCAAACAAATTACCTGGGTCTTGCAAAGATGTACCAGTTTTAGATGAACATCTGAGCATATCTCTTGATGAAGCAAATGATGAAGCTGAATCCAGTCTTCCTATTATTAAGACTATTCCAGAGGTAATTCTGAAAGTCTACAATAAATGTAAATGATTGATATCATTTTAGTGAAAATGGTGGTTTTCTATTTGTACTTGTTTTAAAGCAATAGAGGATGACTGTAAATTCTTTTGTGAAGAGTGGAACTGTGCTGAGGAGAAAGGTATATCTGCCAAAATTGAGTTCCCTAACTGTGTGTCAAACAAATTACCTGGGTCTTGCAAAGATGTACCAGTTTTAGACGAACATCTGAGCATGCCTCTTGATGAAGCAAGTGATGAAGCTGAATCCAGTCTTCCTATTATTAAGACTTCCAGAGGTAATGCTGAAAGTCCACAATATGATGATTGTATTGCTTTAAAACAAGTACAAATGGAAAACCACCATTTTCACTAAAATGATATCAATCATTTACATCTAGTAGTTTGGATTGATTTATCTATAGATAATTGGGCGATTTCACTATCTTGAATTGGACATTGTTTCTGATAACTTTAGAAGATCTCAGTGATTACTTATATTTCCTGTGCCAGTGGATGTTAGTTTTATCACTTGGATGTCCTAAACAACTGAAAAATTAATGTGGTTTTACCTTGTCTGCTTGTTCCTGATTCTCAAATCCTGCATGGTTTGGTAGATATGCGAGAATTGCATAGGAGAAAGAGAAAGCTGTGAGCTAATGCGGAAACTTAGTTATTGTAATGAGAACATATGTGTATACCTTGTACGTGGTAAGGAAGCTCCAAGATCAATTTTAGAAGCTTCTGCTACTTTTGTTGATTCAGATCGTCGGACCTCCAAACGATCACGGAAAACACCTTTTGGCAACTCTGTAAATTTGAAGGTTTCTGGGTCCACATCAATCTACCAGTTGAAAATGATGATATGGGAATCCTTAGGGGTAGGTTTTTTTTCCTTTTTTTCGGATAAAATAGCAATTGTTATTATTCGTGATTTTATTTTCTAATCATCAATTTCATATGAAATTGTGGTGAGAAAACAGGTAAGTATATGGCCAAAAATATTCATAATGCTTTGCTTATTGATATGATGTTTAAGTATTTATTTGTTGATTGATCTAGGTATTGTATGCTGAAAATGGAACATTTAAGTTTTTAATAGTTGCAATCCTTAAGATAGTTTCAGTTCAAGCCCTTTTAGTTTCTCTTACTAAAGCATCACTAACTCTAAGAATTAAATGGGTAAGTATAAGCATAACTTAACATTTTTTTTGAGAATAGGTAAATTATGATTTCATTAAGAGAAATAGCAGAATTTGTGAGCAAACGTGGGTTCAGAAGCAGTGGTGATCAATGCTGCAGTAGGCTTCTTTAAAGAGTTGTCTGTCCATAATGTATTTAGAAATGATACTTTTTCATCTTCTTTTTTGAGGGTGGATTTTTTTGGGGGTATATAGTGGGTTGTCTTGCACAGTTTTGTCTTTGTTCAAAGGACCTTGATCAGTGTTGTATCAATATACTATACTTTGCCTTTTTCACAAAAAAAAAAAGGAATTGCAATATGACCTTGATCAGTGTTGTATCAATATACTACAACTAGAGGCTGTACACAGGGAGAATAATACAAGAAACTAATCCACTATCCTATCAGCACTTACAATATACATATCAAAAAGGGACTTGCAATATGAACTGATGAGTGGTGACCAAGAAAACAATTTGCCCACAATTTTTTGCCACACATCCTCCAGTTGGCTGCCTTTGTTCTGAAAAATTCTAGAGTTCCTCTCCTGCCATAAAGTCCACTACACTACTCTGGGGATCATTTGCAAATACCCTTTCCTCTTTTTTCAGATCTTGTAGATGTTGTCAACTTAGTTTAAACCAGAGAAGAACTAGGAATGAAAGGGTGTGTTCTCTTGAATCACATGCCCAAAAATGATTAACTTATATAATAAAGAGTACAAGGTTATGGAAAGGACAGCTGTGCCCTTCTCATACATGAAAGAATAAAACAAAAAATAGTGTATATAAGTTACAACATAAAAGTGTGGTCCCAAGAGCCAAAAAAGGAAAGAAGATGTAAGAGACATAAATCAGTCTCTACACCTTAGAAGACAAAAAGCCATCACGAAACAAAGACTCAAGTTTATTTGCATAGGAGTGACCAAGTTGCCTATGCCACAAGTGCCATACATTATTTTTGCAAATAATTTCAGTACTAGGGGTAGTAGTATGTAGTAAGCAAACAGGTTGTGGATGAAGGACCTGATGTATTTTCAAATTCCAAGGCAAATAGCCGACCCAATCTACGCCCCTTCCCTTTCACTGTCCTAGTGCGCTAGTCCTGTATCAAACAACCATCATGGGAAAAAGGAAACAATGTTACCATTCCTCAACTAGCTGATCGATTGAGATCAAATTTGTTGTAAGTTTAGGAACGAAGAAAGTTTTAGGTAGATGAAAGCAAGAATTGACAGATGTGGTCAAAGACAAATCATAGCAACCAACAATGTACAATTTCTCTCATTGGCATTAATAATATGTTTATTCAAAGATTTGGGTTTAACGGATTGACTAGTGTGTGCCCCTGTCATATGGTTAGAGGCCCCATAATCAATGATCCATAAGTGACTAGGAGAGGAGCAATAATAGAATGACTCACCCGAAAGGCTGATGGCTAAAAATGCAGAGGAAATAGCTAAGGATACTAGCTGCCACATTCTTTCTTCTGTAAGAGTTCCAGAATTTTCATCCATTCCTGTTGAAGTTGTACTCCTTGTATCTGCACCTTCAATTGTTGTTTGGAAAGCCTTACGTTGACTCGTCTTAAAACTTGAACCATTCCCCTTTGCTGGCCGGGTAGGACATTCAGGAATAATATGCCTATGTTGTTTGCAGTAAGTACAAAAATTTTTCTTCCGACAGTATGAGATAACATGTCCATATTCCTTGCATTCATAACATTGTACTCGGGACAAGTCCTTCTCGGGCTTGGATTTGTTTATCAGAAAGGCTCTCTGTTCCGGAATTAGATTCCGATCTCAAGGTCGATTGAGTAATGAGTCTAGTTTCCTCCTTGAGAAGCTCCCCCAAAACTGTGTCAAGTGTGGGAGGAGTGCCCCTACTGAGAATGTTGGACCTTACAATTTCATAATTAGGTCATAGATGCATCAGAAAATGCATGTTCTTCCTCCTATCAAAATGTTCTTTCAGATTTTTGATGCAACAAGCAGAAGTGCTTTCACCCATGTGAACTAATTCATATTTCGTCCACAAATTCACAAAGCCAACATAGTACTCTTGTATTTTCTTCTCACCCTGACTATAAGAAAAAAATCTGTCTCAATTTGATACTGATGAGAGATGTTGGACTATTGGTATACCTTTTCCATATAGGTGAACATCTCTCTAGCAGTTCGATAACTTCTCATTGGAATAGCAATCTCAGTTTCAACGGAGCCAAGAAGCCAAGACACTACTTTGGCATTATTGATCATCCACTGTTTCAGCCCCTTGGAATCAGATTCATCAGGTTGTTTTGTGGAAACATCCACAAATCCCCATAGGCCATTTCCCTCAACATAGAACTGTAAATGGAATTTCCAGAAGGCATAGTTTGTCCCTTTGAACTTTACTGGTAGAATATCCCTTTTCTCCATGGCCATTTCAGCAATGAATAAACAAAAAAACTAAGAAAGTAGAGCAGCCGAAGGTCCAAAAGAAACCAAAACTTGATGGAATATGTGTGTCTAATCAGACACCACAAGGAGGAAGCAAAACCCAATAAAAAAACAGCCACGCAAAGTTTTCAAACTGAACCAGAACTAAAATATAGATCTATATAAATCTGACCTGGGCGACTTCAGATCTGAAGTTTCAGTGTTTGAAGTAGCTGAGAAAGAGAAGAAACACTATAGCTGATGGTGACCTTCCAGAGAAAGAACAGCAGAGATGTACTGATCAGTACAGCAACCTATGAGATCCAAAGTTGAAGTAGATGGGTCAATTTCACAGGCCTAAACAGATTTCAATCAAGAACAGGTTGAAAAAACCGGCTTTGATACCATGTTAACTTGGTTCAAATCAGGGAAGAAGAACTAGGAATGAAAGGGTGTGTTCTCTTTTTTTTTTTGATAATTGAAAGGGTGTGTTCTCTTGAATCACACACCCAGAAATGATCAATTTATATAATAAAGAGTACAAGGTTATGGAAAGGACAGCTGTGCCCTTCTCTTATAAGAAAGGATAAAACAAAAAATAGTGTACATAAGTTACAATATAAAAGAGTGGTCCCAAGAGCCAAAAAAGGAAAGATGTAAGAGACATAAATCAGTCTCTACAGATGTCACTGTTTCAAGAAGCTCTCCATTGATGCTGGGCAACGACCCTTCAAGGCAAACAACCCTTGGGCCTTGGTGATGGGGATCTGACTATGCATTATAAGGCCTATTCTCGTAAGAAGGCCAACAAACAGGTTCTGATTTGGCGTGGAGAAGACTCTTGGGAATTGGACTGATCTGTTCAGGGGTATTTTCGTCAATTTGATCAGCCCAATGTGGACTTGGGCTATAGCATCTTGTTCCTATAGCTTAGTAGTGTTTGTCTTTCAATTTTCAGTTTATTTGCATTAGTAGATAGAAAGTTATAGTGTTTCTTGATGCACAAGACAAAGAGTGGCACTTTTTGTAATTATGGTGAACAGTGTTCCGGGCCACACAAGTCACTCTATAAATAGATGTATTCTCTTCCTTTTGAGGCTAATGAACAAATGAAGATTTCTTATGAGCTCTCTTGCTGTATGGAGTGATTCCTACAAACCCTAGAGTGATTCTAGGACCCCTTGGCGTGATTCCTTGGGATTTCTCTCTTTTCTCTTGGAGCAAGTGAATAGTAGGAGGTTTGGTATTCAAGTTGGGGAGGCAGCAGCACGTAAAAGTTTAGATGAGGGTAAAGTCACTAGACCTACATCTCATAATGTGGTTGTAGTAAAGTCTAATGGTTCCAAGTATCAGGGAGCTGATAACAAGGGGAAGAACATCATGATTGATGCTAATAAAAGGGGAACAACAGAAAATATTTGTTTCAAGTGTGGTGGAAAGGGCCACTATGCATTTCAATGCCCTAATAAAAATCTACACATAGGGTGTGAGAAGGACAAGTGGAAGATGATGGAGGCCTTGGTGAAGAGTACACAGGGTCTGAACATGAAGAAGGAGATGACAGCAATCTTGTTGGAGTTGTTAGACGCATTTTAGCATCCTCTAAAGAAGAAAAGAAAGAAGATTGGCTTCGTACAGCGATCTTCCTCACCTTTGTCAAGAGCGGAGACAAGCTTTGCAAGATAATAATTGATGGTGGTAGCAGCATGAATGTGGTTTCTGCAACAACTGTTGAAAGGCTCAATCTAGTTGCACAATCTCATCCTCAACCATACAAGATTGCTTGGTTAAACAATATGACACTTCAGGTAGAACAAAGAGCTCTTGTTTCTATTTCCTATGGGTCTTATGTTGATGATATTTGGTGTGATGTTGTTCCTATGAATGTTACACATATTCTATTAGGCCGACCATGGCTTTACGATAGGGATGTATACCATTGTGGGAAAGAGAATACATATTACTTTCTATTTAATAGAAAGAGAATTGTTATGAAACCTATGTCACCTGATGAGATTAAGAAGCGAACTAAGACCCCTCAAAAGGCAGCTTCAGCCAAAAAACAAGTAGTTGAACAAAAGAAGCAACCTCTTTTGCTGTCCAAGAAGCAATTTGAGGAGGAAAGCAAAGAATCAGGCCTTGTTTATGCCCTAATAGTGAAAGAAGTGAATAAACCAGCACATGCCCTTATTTCAAAGGTGCCAAAAGAAGTTGAAGACTTGCTGGCTGATTTTTCAGATTTGATCCCAGAAGAGTTGCCTGATGAATTACCACCTCTA